CAGGAAAAGAGAAGACAGAACTTTGGCATCCATTTTGAACAATGTCCAAGCCTAAATCAGTTCCAAAGACCTAAATGAGAATTTAACTTTTGCCTAGATGTTAGAGGATTTTTCATTTGCTTGAGTGGGAATTTTATTTCATGGAAGTAGGTGGGAATCCCAGAGCAGTGTATTTTTTATTTATTTATATTTTTGGTGAAATTACACACAGCCAAGTATATACCACTTCAACAGTTTCTACATGTATGAAACATTAGTTACATTCTTCCAGTTGTGCTACCATTCCTACTAACCTTTTCTTTCTATCCTCTGCCCCCACCCTGTGTGTACAAGGTCTAATGGGCTCCTTGTCCCTGACCAAGACCAGTTGGTCCCTGTTATAGTGACAGCATTGACATCAGCCCTCATGGTAAAGGAATTCACTAAAGCCTGAATGGAAAGGGGACCAAAACAAGAAAAATTCAGTTCAGCAAGACCAAAACCACCATTCTCTTAAACTGACCACCCTCTACGCATCCATAACCTTTTGAGTTGTTTTTGCCAACTCGATCTCTCATAGATAATTCTTTAAGCAGACATACTTTATTAATGAAAATAAGCTTTTATTGGGGGCTGGGGGCTTCAAAGAAGACTTCAAGGGATGGTTTTAGCTTAAGATTTAAAGTTTTAAAATTACACTAGGGCAATAGTTCCAAGGGCTCATGCAGCCTCAGTGGCTCCAGAAAGTCTGAATTCTGTTGAGAATTTTAAATTCTATTTCATATCCCCCTTTGTTTTGTTTTGCCTCTTAAAGAAGTTCCTTGATTTATTTTTTATTTATTAATTTTATTTTTGGTGGTGTTGAGAATATAAGCCACAGAATGTACATGTACAGTTCAATGACATTTATTACATTCTTCGAGTTGTGCAACCTGGTTTTTGGTCTTGGCCTCCTTCCTGCTCTCAGGAGACTCTTCGAGCACAGACTAGAGAGTAGATTATGATGGGTGAACACTTTCTTTGTCCCTTAAAAGAAATGCAGTTCCGTATGGCCCTGTCTCATTGCACTGTGGCCAGATCTGCCCCCACCTTATGTGTACAAGCCCTAATGGGCTTCTTGTCCCCAGCCAAGACCAGTTGGTTCTTGTGTAGAGTGAAAGCATGGACGTCTTCTCTCATGGTGGAGGAATTAGCTGAAGCCCAAAGAGACCAAAAACAAAAATGCAATCCAGCAAGACCAAAACTATTTCTTTTGTATTTTATGGGCTCTCAGCAGCTGTTAAGCTTTGCTGGATTTTGATAGTAAGGAAGTTTCCAAAAATAGAACCATGAAATGTCAGAGTTAATGAGATCACAGCAATAAAATATCTTTACTACCAAGAAATCTGACTTTATTAACCTGACAGGAAAGTTGATGTGCACCCTGCAGACAATGTGCTCCTATGCTGGCCCCTCCCCTTCTTGATTGTTCTCCTGATGCATCTGTTTTGAGAGGAAAGGCAACTACATCTGAATCTTAGTAAAAACATTGCAACAAGAAATGTCTTTAAGGAAATGTTCTTTATCCAAGCCAGGGCAAACCAAGAAGTTGAATCAAAAAGGTAGTGTCTTGCCAATAGATGAAGAAAGGGGCAAAGCATCTGGTCATTCCTCTGTTTTGCATCCCTGCCCTGGCCACCATGTCACCCTAATTCACCCTAATTCCTGCAATTACCATGCTCACTCTGCTATCCCAGACTCCAAACTCTAATACATGCTAATAATATCATTCCCCCGATTGAAAGATTAGGGACTGCCATCCCCCCTTTCATCTCTGCTCTCACAAACACCAGAGCAAGAACAGGACTGAAGCAGCTATTGGTGTTTCTTCAAAAGGTGCCTATTCTCCAAAAATGAGAATTAAAAGAACTACTATATGCAAATATACTATATACAAAAACAAAAAGCACTAACCTTATTTAATTACTCATTAACTATCCCTCTCACTTAAGAGTGTCTTTCATTCAGAATCACAGTGAATTCCTGAAGGAAATACAAAATTTTAGAAACCTTGGTTACAATGAATTCAACCACAGTTTGCTGTCCAATTTTGAGTGGTTTGTTGTTCTTTCATAGACATAGATGAGAACCCCAAAGATTAATGAATGTTGCTGGCTGGGAGTGGCCACTGATCTGATCCAGAATTTCTTGTATCCTTTCCTTTTGACATCCTCAGCCTCCCTTCCTCCATTGTCCTCTACCTGTATGATTACCATTTTTCCAATGCAGAATTATGATACAGAATAGAGGAAGGAATGGGGCACATTATGTGTGTGTCGTTGCCCCTGCAGGTTCTACAGCCTCCTGCCTATCACACAAAGCAGTATGGTAGTGGCCACTATGACACAAAAATGTAGACTTCACTAGATCAGAATTTACAGGGATGCATCTCTATACTGGTAAACTCTTTTTTTCAACAATCTCCCTCTGTAAATCGTTTAAAACAGAGGTTTGAAAAGACAGCTCAGAGATATCACCAACCAGGTCCATGCCTGGCCCTCACAGAGAAGGCTGACTTCATTAGGTTCCTCTTCTTAGCAATATCTGAAGTAACTCTTTTACTCTGAGACATTCATAAAAACAACAAACTGAACCCACACAATTAAGTGAACTGTATTTAGTTAGCATCAGTGTGTGCACCACAACTATATAAGTATACGTGGTATAATAACTTCAGAGTGGGTTACAGTGTAGTTAGGTTAGCAGTAACTATTAATTCCCATCATCAAGGTGGGAGAGTGAAATTGTTTAGCAAGAGTGACTTTAATAAGTGTCTACTTCCTGGTTCTAGCCCATGTGCCCTGCTTCTGTCATTATCCTTGTCGGCATCCAAACTGGTCCATGTCAGTTTAGTTGTATCAGAGGTTGAGTGCTCATTGACACAATTCCTCAGCCTCTCTACCTACAATCTCACCAAATCTAGACTTTAAATTAGAGTCGTCATCAGCCATACTTCTATGTCTCTGACTAGTTCTAATCCTCTTTGCTGTTGCATATACTCAGAGAAATGCTGGTAGTGTAATGCTTCTTCAGTTTTATGAAATGTTTCCTACTCTCAACCAGGAATGCTTTTACTCTACACAGCAGAATGTCCAGAGGGTTCAAGAAAAGACTTCTGTGAATCTTAGCAGAAGAAAATGCTCTTAGCTGGCTGTGACTGACTTTGAATGTTTAGCCTTTTCAAGACTGAACTATTTTCTGCTTTGAATTTTTGTGTTTTCAGTAACAGAAGATATTTTGAATGCAATGAATTTTTTTTTTTTTTTTTAGGTAATACGGATTTTTTATAATTAGTGGGGCACATATGTCCCAAGGGGTCTCTGGTGCAGGAGTTGGTGGGATGAGGTTCATTTCTTCAGATTTATGCAGTTATACAGTAGGCCCCCACCAGATCACAGCATGCACTAAAAGTGGGATAGCAGCTTCCCACTAAACCCCAGAGGTGGAAAATGTAGGTGGACACAATATGTCTTATGAGTCACAGAAGAGTTAGCTCTGGACTTCACTTAGGAAAGCATTGATGCTTATTGCATTATTAGTGCTTCCCATTATCAAATGTCAGCACTTACAATTTAAAGTTATATCTTGCAAGATTGTGGCATTTTCACTATTGGTGGTTACCAAGATGTACACAGTAGCACCTTTTGAATGGAACTGACAATATTTGCCCTAGGCAACCATAATAAGCACTTTCCATTAAAGACTGAGGATAACAGGCAAGATTCATGGACTGGGTGGTATCTGGCCTTGATCCTAAGAGGAGGAGAGGAGTTAGGTAACTCAGTGAGAGATGAGATGATTCCAAATAGAAGTAGCTGGTTTGGTGGGTATAAAATGTAGCTGTCATGATTAGGGACTAACAGGTCAACCAGTTTGACTGAAGCAAATAGGGAGTCAATGGAAGTAATGTTGAAAATGATTGATGACAGATTATACAGCATCTTTTGTGCTAGAGTAAGAAATCTGGAGTTGATCTAAGACCTGAAAAGCCATTGAAGAGGATGATGTCTGTGAGACATTAGTTTTAGGAGATTTTTCTGTTAATACATAGAGAGTGGGGATTGAAGATGCCTCCTCCTCCTGCCTCACCACGTGGAGATCTCCTACTTGTCTTTTAGACCCAGCTCAACTGTCACCTCCTTTGGGAAACCTTTCAGAGTGACTTGCTCTCTGTAATTTGTAGTCTTTGATATATATTGTTGTTGTTGTTGACATATATATTAGGATGGCAATATGTTATCACCATGTTATATTATAATACTTTTTTCCCATATGAAATCTGCTCTTATGAAAAGCACACATAATTTTATTATGCTTTATAGACCTTATGCCTAGCAATGGACTGAACTGTGAGATTCTCAGTAAATACCTACTGAAGTGAAACAAAAACAGACAAGAAGCCAATCAGCTAATGGCAGTTTGACTGTAAAATGAGCCCGTCAAGAATGATAGATTTTTCAGGACCAGGAGAAACTGTGACAATCATCTAACCCAGTTACACAGTAACCACTGCAAATGTTGGACAAGTGATGATCCCACCTTACTCTGTTCTGGGGCAGCTTTTTGTTATAAGAAGTGTACAGCTGGAGGGAACCTTAAAGACAGCTATATCTAAAAAATGAAGTGAAATGATTGGTACAAGATTACTCAGATAATTAGCAGCAATGCTGGGAAATAGAAACTAGTACCTACCAGACCCATTTAGTCCACTGTAGGGAGTATATGCAGTTTACAGTTGAGGATGGTAAGGGGTTACATGCTTAAGGATGCTTAAGTTCAGGGTCACACGGTTGATAAGTAGTGGAGCTATAATGACAGATTGGTCTCATTCCACTTCCCAATACCCCGTGCCATTCCTGGATAAGACCCCAGGTTTTCCAAGACACTGGGAAATGTTCTTCTCACTTCTCTATGCAAACCTTGCCAAAGGATCTATTTTGAAATGCCACCTGTTTTTCACCCCCATTTCTCTTGCTTTTCAGGAGAGAAGTATGAGCTCCATGCAGGGACTGAGTCCACCCCAAGTGTTGTCGTGCACGTATGTGACAGTGACATAGAGGAAGAAGAGGATCCAAAGACTTCTCCAAAGCCAAAAATCATCCAAACCCGGCGTCCTGGCCTGCCGCCGTCCATGTCCAACTGAGCTCACAGCAAGCCTCGACAATAATATCCGTCTCCTCTTTAACATGCTTTCCCCCCTGTTGTTTGTTTGTGGAAAAAAAAAAAAATTGCCTTTAAATCCCTGGGTATTTGGTTGTTTGAGATTCCTTCCTTGTAATCAAGCCTCTCGGACAAAAGGGCTAGGAAAAGGTGATGTTTCCTGATCATATCATACTCCATGAAGTGTGATTTATTATTTAGAGGGTTCTAGGGAGAAAAAAAAAAAAGTAGCATTTTCTTATTAAACTATCAGTATAGCCTGTATCTTCATTTTCTCATGTCAATCCAAGCCAGAGACATCAGTAACAAATAGCACCTGTGTTGTTTATGAGCTGTTTCAGTCCCTGTCCTGAGGTTTGTGCGTTGTTTTTTCCTGGCCACTTAAATAGGACCATATGTAAACTTGACTTTGACTGCATGAGATACCCCTGTCTGGTTTCACTCAGTCCTCTGCATCCCGACATTCCCAGGACATGCATGATCACCAGCATTTATTTTCATGATTTGAGAATACACTAGAACTCACAGATTGTCAGCATCCAGCCATGTCCTCTCTACATTAGGAAAATTATCAGCATCATCCAGCTCAACAAGTCTGGGTGTATTTACTATTTTGAGTCAATACTTCATAGTCTGTTAAAATTCCTGGGAGCAAAACTGAGCTTGGCCCCAAAGATATTCCTCATTAGATTTTGAACATGACTTCCATATAGAATTTTCCCGGTCTTACTGGGGAGGCTTGTCCAGGGCGATCTAGACCGATTTCAGATGAACCTATTTATTACAAAAGTTCCATGGTGTCTGAACGATTGTTTTTTCTCTTTGTATATTTGTACAAATGTTTCAGCTGTGCTTTTAAAGTCTGGATGTTTTTTATTTAGTGATTGTTCAGCCACTAGCTGCTTCAGAACATAGTATGAGCATTGCCTCTGAATGCATTCATATACTAAGACAGATAATCTGATAATATTACACTCTATTATGGATATGCTGAATTTTGAAAGGGCACACAATGTCTCATGCCAATGTATAATGATTAGCCAACATCTTTGCTATCAAGAACCTTTTGTTTTTAAGTAAAGTGAAAATGCACTTGTCAGTTGTAGACAGCTTGGATGAAGCTGAATCTCCAGAATGCAGCTGAGCATATTAAAATGGGAAGGATGGTAAATATATATATGCTTATCCTACTCATGCAAATATCCATATGCTCAAAAGAGTTCCTTGTTTTTGTTACATGTGATTTTTCTATTTCTCTAGCCCAAAGTGCATTACAGAACATACACCTATAGAACCATTACCTTCTGCTGTATGTGCCATATAACGAATTAATTTACATGTAAATTGTGGCAGACTGGGGAAATACTTTCTTTACCCAAGCCTCAGAAAAACACACAAGAACAATAACACACCCAATTGATTGAAGGATTGTTGTGGTTTTTGACTAGGGTGTATGTTAGTTTCATCCGAAATGTAAAACACAGACTGATCATGCAGATATTAAAGTCCGTTCTACTGTGAATATAGCAATATAGTACTGGACACAGTACAGGTGAAACTGAGGAGAGCTAATGAAATCCTGAGTTTCCATAAGAAAAATGAAGGCTCCTTTTAAAAAATAAAATCTGAGGAGTATATAACAAGCAAATGCTTTGACTTTCCTTTGCTGTGGAGGTTTTTTTTTTTGTTTTTCCTCGACCAAGACTGAAGACTTAGTAGGTGGAGAAAGAGTGCCCTCTAGTGGAAGAAACATTGCCCTCAGCTATTCAGATGAACAGAGAACTTTGACCACAGTCAGCCATGTTGCTTTGAATTTCTTCTCAGTCATCTGCAGATCATTTGACTTTATAAGCTACCCAGAATTTTCAGAATGCATGTTCTAAAGAAAGCTAGATAAGAGAAAATTTTGGAAATGATTTTTAATTTTTTGAAAAACAGAAATATTAGACATTGGCAACCAAATTTACTAAAAGTTGAAATGACCATTCTGTGCAGTCATAAAATGAAGTCAGTGTAGTGTATTATCTATGTGGTTAGTCTTAGTAAAATTTACTGCAAAGTGATAATGTTAATCTGTCTCAGATCAAGTAATTCTTGAGTTTAGGGAAGGAGAGAAGGGGAGCTTTTGCAGAGAGTGGTAAGAAACAAGAAGGACTCTTAGAAGTATTTTCAGTGGTAACTCTTAGCACTGTGAAAGTCAGAATTGCCTCAGCATTTCCATGATGCACATTATGCAAACCTCTTTAGCACTATTTTAAGTTTAAAACGTTTAAAAATGGAGGTGGAGGAGATTTCCACCAACTGAATTATTTGTGCACGTGTATAGCTCAAAGAGCTTAGACTTCAAATATACCTGGTGAATGACTCTCTGTCCATGTGGTGTAATTTCTATGTTGTCTTCTGAATTCAGTATTTTTGGGGGTTTATTGTGGGGAGTGCAATTCAGCCTAAAATCTTTTTGGAAGGTTATCAACATATGGGATTAACTCATCTGGGCTCTTAATAAAATGAGCTTTGGGGGGAAGCTGTTTGGCATGAGGAAAGAGAAATTTTAACAAGCCCTGTAGGGTCAGTGGGTTGGGCTTGGATAAGGGGAGCTGGAAGAGTGCTTAGTTTTACTGTCGTGGTTCAAACATTAGGGTACCTGAAAGCCATTTCACTTCTACTGATAGCCACTTTTAACATCTCCCCCACTATATTTCTTGGTTTAAAACACTGTTAAGAGACCTGAGGTCTGCAAAAATTTGTTGAAGAGAATACAAAAATCATGATCCTAAAATAAAAGATTGGTAAATTGGATTTCATCAAAACTAAGATCTTCTGTTCATCAAATGACATCATGAAGAGAGTGAAAAGGCAAGCCTCAAAGGAAACAAGGCATTTACAGTGAAGATAGCTGTTACCAACAAGTTGCCACTGAGTCAACTCCAACTCATGGCAACCCCATATGTGTCTGAGTAGAACTGTCCTCTGTAGGGTTTTTAATGTCTGATTTCTTAGATCACCAGGCCTTTCTTCTAAGGTGCCTCTGGGTGAACTCCAAACTCCAACATTTCCATTAGTAGCCAAGTGTGTTAACCCTTTGCACCATCCAGGGACTCCATTTTGCTATCAAGTAACTCATATCCTTTTTTTTTTTTTTTTTTAAATAAAGTAGCAAAAGAGACATTTAAAGTACATAGGCAACTAACTCACATGAACACATACATGAAGACATCCGTGTGGCCCATAAACATTTAAAAAAAACCACTCTATCATTTGTCAGCAAAGAAAGGCAAAGCCTCAAAGAGATCTGGCAGACATCCATCAAATGGCTAAAATTAAGTGTGGGGGAATATTAAGTGCTGGTGAAGATACGGAGCAAGTAGAACTCTCATATGTTGCTGGCAAGAGTGTAAACTGGTACAGTCACTTTAGAGTACTGTTCAGTAGTAGCTACTAAAGCTACACACACACCTGCCCAGAAGCAATAGCACTCCAGGACATTCAACTAGCAGAGATGAGTGTTCATATCTGCCAAAATACTTGTACAGTCATGTCCCTAGCAGTGTTGCTCATAATAGCCATCGACTAGGTACAACAAAATATCCTTCAACTGTAGAATGGACAAATAAACTGTTTACTCAAAGGATATTGCAAAGTAATAATAAACAGATTACTGATACATATTACAACATAAATGGATTTCAAAGGACCTCAAAACCATCCTTTAGTGCCAAAAAGCCAGAGAAAGGAAAGGACACAGACTTTATGAAATTAAGAAAGTCAAAACTATATAATTGATAGAAATTATTAGGGATTACTTTTGGGAGGGAATCAACTGAGAGGGGAACACAAAAGAGCATTCTGGGGTGCTGGAATCATTCTACATCTCAATCTATACTTCCATGGATGTACACATATGTAAAAGTCATTCAAAACTTGTATGTAGGTTATACTTCAGTAGAAACAAAGCCACTATGAGAATAGAGAAGAAGATGTCATTGGTTTGGTCAAAGAAGAGGATTTGGAATTGTCTGCATACTAGAAACATATTTCAAAATATAAGACATTTCCATATATACAAAGTCTTTTATTTAAAAATCTGTAATATTATTCAAAGAGAAGCATGGGATTCAGGCTCAAGCACTGAGTTACTGTTATTTCAGTTAAGTATTTATCAGGACTCAAGGAACCCAACCAGAGACCCAGAAAAGAAACTAGTCTGTAAGACTAACAGTCTACAGGAACCATGGCCTCATCTACCCTGAGACCAGAAGAACAAGATGGTGCCTGGCTACCATTAATGACCATTCTGATCAGAGCCACAACAGGTGGATCTTGATAGAATGGGAGAAAAATGTGGAACAGAGCTCAATTTTTTAAAATGTCCAGACTTATTGGACTGGTTGAGACCAGAGGACTCCCCAGCTCTATCACCCTGAGATACTCCATAAATCTTAACCAAAACGACTCCCTGAGGGCGCCTGTTAGCTAAATTAACAGATTGGCTCATAAAGAATGTTACCAAAGAGTATGGCATATCTTTTTAAAAAAATCATATATGAGATCAAGTCATCAACAGTTACCCTAAAGCAAAGATGAAAGGGTAGGGGACAGGGAAACCAGATTAGTGGAAGGAAAATACCAGACAGAGTTATGAGAATGTCAAAACACTGTGAAAAATGTAACCAGTATTTCAGAATAATATCTGGTAATTGTTAAATGGAACCCTAACATGCTATGTAAACTTTCCTGAACATACAATAAAATACAATTAAAATGAATCAAGGAGCCCTGGTGGCACAACAGCTGCTCACCAAAAAGTTGGCAATTTGAACCCATCCAGTGGTTCCATAAGAGAAAGACCTGGCAATCTGCTTCCATAAAAATCACCACCTAGAAAACCCTGTTGTGGTTACCTAGTGCTGTTCTGACAAGAATATACACAAATGGGATGACTTTAACAGAAGTTTATTCTTACAACTTGGAGGCTTTAAGTCC